GAACTTGGTCCGCTTGCTTGATTTGTTGATGGTTGATTAACTTGGAGATCATCATGGAGGACAGGGGTTGAGACCTTAATTGTTGTCTGATTCTTAGTTGTCCAGAGAAAACGAATAGAAGAAGAGAAAGAAACAGAAGGCGGCGCCATGTGACCCAAGAAGGGGTGGGAAAGGTAGTGTGGATCACCTAGTACCTGTTTCTTAGGTAGATTTTCGGTTTTGGTGACTTGGGGTTGGAGCTGACTTGGGTCCTTGGTCCTCTTTGGTGTTTCTGCTTTGGCCGACTTAGCAGTAGAAGGTCTGATGTGACGAGATGTGGCCAGAAGAAACCTAAAGAGTCCTTGAGTAGAGATGTGTATAGTTGAAGGTAGCTTGAGATAGTTTGGAGATAGTTCTACTGGTAAGTATGAGACCTGTTTGAGAAGACTGTAAACAGTCAAGCCTCTTCTGAGAAGAGTTGACAAGCTTCTGGTAAGCTTTGATACAATCTAAACCGACTGTGACTTTGGCTCAAGTGAGCGGGATCAAAACGGAAGCTTACGCATCCGTGTTTTCACAAAGGCTAATTTCTCAGGGAAGAAGAAGCAGGGTCAGGTTGTTGTTCCGAGCAAAATGTCCTGCCTGAACAGTTTTCGATTGATGGTCACTGAAGCTCAAGTGTGAGTGAGAAGGGCATCAGCTTGAGCTGTTTTTGACTTGAAGAATGTCAAGAGTGGAAAGAACTGAAGAGCCTGCTGCAAGTTCAAACAAGCAGGGGACATGTTTTTATGGTGAGGTCATTCTTGCAAGACAGGGGTGCGCTGTCTGTCAAGTGAAGGCAAAAGAAGAAGATGCACAGGACACAGCAGAAACATTTTCTTTGGCATTTTGTTTGACTTTGCAAAAACATGCTTGTCACATTGTCTGACATGTTTGTGATTGTGTGTGTTGGTGACTGTTGTGGTTGTGTGTTTGTGTTTGTGGTATGTGGTTGTGGGTTGTGGTTGTGTGCTGTGGATGTGTTTGTGGTGTGTTGTGGTTGTGGTGGTTGTGTGTTGTGGTTTTGTGCTGTGGATGGAGGCGGAGATGAACCCGACAGCTGGTGGTCCTCCACCAACCAACCGTGACGGCAGAGAATCACGCCAATCACAGCGGCCAAAGAGTCCCCATTCGCTTGAAGTCAGTCTCATGGAAAAAACCACCAGTATTGAATATGAGGGGTCAGGCTTGTGATGATGTGAAATGTGGGAAACAAAAAACCAAAGCCAAATTACTTTACTTCGAGTGATCCCCACCATGACATTTCAATCATTTGTCTTGATGCCATAGTGAGGAGCATGTTGCCATAGTCGTTAGTATTGTAGTTCTCGATGTTGCTTGTGGGTCCTCGGGTTGTGTGCTGTGGTTATGGTTGTGTTTGTGGTTGTGTGTTTGTGGTTGTGTTTGTGGTTGTGTGTTTGTGGGTGTGGTAGTGGTTGTGATTGTGTGTTTGTAGTTGTGGTTGTGGTTGCGGTTGTGTCTTTGTGATTGTGTGTTTGTAGTTGTGGTTGTGGTTGTGTCTTTGTGATTGTGTGTTTGTAGTTGTGTTTGCGGTTGTGTGTTTGTGGATGTGTTTGTCGTTGTGTTTGTGGTAGTGGTAGTGGTTGTGATTATGTGTTTGTAGTTGTGGTTGTGGTTGTGTCTTTGTGATTGCGTGTTTGTAGTTGTGGTTGTGGTTGTGGTTGTGTCTTTGTGATTGTGTGTTTGTGCTTGTGGTTGTGGTTGTGTGTTTGTGGTTGTGTTTGTGGATGTGGTTGTGTTTGTGGTTGTGTGTTTGTGGTTGTGTGTTTGTGCGTTTGTGGTTGTGTGTTTGTGGTTGTGTGTTTGCGTGTGTGTTTGTGGTTGTGTGTTGCGTGTATGTTTGTGGTTGTGTGTTTGTGATTGTGTCTTTGTAGTTTTGTTTGTAGTTGTGTGTTTGTGCTTGTGTTTGTAGTTGCGTGTTTGTGATTGTATTTGTGATTGTGTGTTGTAATTGTGTGTTGTGATTGTGTGTTTGTGGTTGTGTGGTTGTGGTTGTGTGTTTGTGGTTTTGTGTTTGTGGTTATGTGTTTGTGATTGTGTCTTTGTAGTTGTGTTTGTAGTTGTGTGTTTGTGATTGTGTTTGTGATTGTGGCTTTGTGATTGTGTTTGTGGTCGTGTGTTTGTGATTGTGTGTTTGTGGATTTTTTTCTGGCAAACTATCTGGTTGAGGTCCAGCGGTGCACACTGCAATCGGATCCTTGCGGTTGAGGTCCAGCGGTGCACACGGTTGAGGTCCAGCGGTGCACACTGCGATCGGATCCTTGCGGTTGAGGTCCAGGGGTGCACACTGCGATCGGATCCTTGCGGTTGAGGTCCAGGGATGCACACTGCGATCGGATCCTTGCGGTTGAGGTCCAGGGGTGCACACTGCGAGGGGATCCTTGCGGTTGAGGACCAGGGGTGCACACTGCGATCCGGAGCTGGCAGACAAGATCGGCGAAGCAGATTGGCGAGGAAGGAAGCAAGGAGGAAGGAGGAGGACGAGGAGGCGGCGGAGGCGGAGGCGACGGAGGAAGAACAGCTGTGATAAAATCTAACAACCCTCACCTGGCAGGTGGGGAACTAAGCAGAGACAGCTTGTGGCAGTGGCAGAACTTGACGGACCAGTTGTTTTCTAGAAAACTGTTTTTGCGCACTTCCTTTCACATGATGTTTAAATTTGGTTCTGAAACTTTGAAGTTGGTAGAGTTGGGAGTGTGGCTGCGCATTGGGGTTCTCATGCGGGATTGATGTTGCTGCAAAGTTTCCTAGTGCTTTCGCGTTGTGATTACCTCCATTTCTGCACAGATTCACAAGGACTCAGGGATGGGCTTTGTGAAGCGCTTGGGCAAAAGGTCACGCAAAAAGTGGTGAACAGATCATTTCGTTGTCCATGGAAAAAACTTTGTTTGATTCCAGTTGCCGTCGTATTTTTCACCACACGGTGTGGAACCGTTTGACAGTCATGTGGGCCATCTGCATGAGCAACTCGGTTGCTTGTTTGTTCACCAAAGCACTAAGCTGCAACCAGTTCTGGCCCAGCAAGGTTTGGTTCCGCGAAAACACTAGTGGATCATCCAAACTCAATTGAAAATGAAAAAACATACTGTAAAGCACATGATCATTGTTTTCGATGTTTTTTGCTTGAATGGATGAACAACTCGGGCTCGCACTTGGAAAGTGCATCTCTTTCTTTCCATTGGCTGCATTGGCTCCATCCACAGCTGTTTTGCGGATGTGGCCTTTCTCTCCTTTGCGACTTGGCTCAACGAACCCAAATTGGAAATTCATGGGTTGTTGCAATTGTTTGCCTTCGAGGTTGCCTTTGCAAAAGGTTTTGGACGATGTTTTTTCAAAAACATCGATTCGGACAACTAGATTCTTTTTTGGTCTGACATTGGGGCTGTCCGACTCTTCTTCATCAGTGGAAACAAAACACAAAAGAACCCACACAAATAGCTTTCATGTGGAACAGCCGAGGTTTGTCAATCATGTTTAACTGCTGTGCTTTGGCTGCACTTGGATTGGAGAGCTTCATGGCACATGCCGTGATGAACAATTCATGGAACAATGCTGCTAGAACAATGAAAGTCGAGTGTGACTCAGCGGCCTGGGTTGTGCGAGATTGTAAAAACTGCCTAACGCCAGTGTGTTTAAAGGCTTAAACCCTCGCACTCGTTTAGCGACATGTGTCCATGTTTAGGTACTTGCGAAAACTGGCAAAGATCGGTCAGTATGGTTTGACAAAGAGGCTAAAACTAGGAAGGCTCAGGCATCGAGCCCATGAAGAGCAACCAGAGAGCAGCTAACTAGAGAGCTGAAGTCAGTTCGGTGTCATTTGAATCATCATTCGCGTCCTCTGAGCATTACGCAGGTCAGGCCAATGCTGACAATCAGGTTGGCTCGGGTTGTTGAAAACCTCCATTTCAGACGTCAGTGAGAGCGATTTGAGTGAAGATCCAGCCTTTCATGACAGTGAAGTGCAAACTTGACTCTAGACCCCCTTTCGGAGGCTGTACCAGACTGGCCGGGTTCCCTTTTTTGGCTTGGCCGAAGGTTCCCTTTTTGTTCCTAATAGCTTCTTGTTACTACTAGTAAGGCACTTGTTACTAGTAGCGATGCACTTGTTCCTAGTAGCTTCTTGGCCGAAGTTCCTTTTTTGCCAGGCCGAAGTCGTAGACGCCACGCCTCCCAAAAAGGAGCCGACGCCTCCCAACGGGGCCCCGGGCAGCCGATGTCGAGCGTTTGGGTGCGTCGGAGCGGGCATCGCTACTAGTAACAAGTGCCTTACTAGGAACAAGAAGCTACTAGAAACAAGCTACTAGTTATATAAGTAGAAACAATATGTAAATAGAATCTAGGAACTACTAGGAACAGAGGAGCAGAGGACGCTACTAGGGGCCTCCTGGCCTTACTACTAGGAACCAAGGACGCTACTAGGAGCAAAGGGCATCGCTACTAGTAGCTTTTTGTTACTACTAGTAAGGCACTTGTTACTACTAGCGTGGCACCTGTTACTAGTAGCATGGGAGCTTAGAACTTTCAATTCTCTCTCTCACTCCTGAAGCGTCCTCCACTCCACTCCTAGGAGTGAGGCCAGGAGCCTCTAGTAGCGTCCTTGTTACTAGTAGAAATGTCCTTTGCTCCTAGTAGCGTCCTTGTTGGAAATAGATTGGAACTTAATAGCGATGGCCTCCAACTCCACTAGTAGAGTCTTGCTACTAGTAGGAATGGCCTCCAACCTACTAGCGATGGTCTTAACAAACTGCCAAACGGTTCATGTGCTACCTTCCATATGTTGGCAATGAGCACCTTCGGCAGGAGCAGGCTGTTGGACAAGAGTCTAGACCTTTGCACACGTTTCCCTGGCATTGATTACTCTACAACATGAGACAACCGTGTTTTGAAGAAACGGTGCCGTGATTTGAGACATGGTGCGTGTTCCCTGAAAGCGAAAGAAACGAACGGTGCCAGGTATCCCAATGGCTCCACCTACACGGGAGAGTGGCTCGGTCCTCATAGACACGGGCACGGCTTGCAGGTGCGCTCGAACAGTGTGCGATTACAGAGACCAAAGCCTTCAGTCGAAAAAGGGTAAATCGAAACAACATGTCATTTTCCTCTTTTTCTGGTTTCCTTTGACACTTGGACCTGTTGTATGTTCCTTTCCTTTCCTTTCCTTCTCTTACAATGCCGTTGGCAACGTGTTTGAGATAGTTCTTGTTTGCACTTCAGACGTACGAGAGTTGAGAAAGGATTTGGGGCAACATCTCAAATGCCAGTCAAAGGATTCCTTATTTGAAGGTTTTGTACATCTAAGTTGATGATCCCATCCACACAAACAAACAAGAACCCCCCCTCCAATCCAAGGGGCGAGCCTTTACAAGTGTATGATACGTCGATCATAGGAAAACAGAATTCGCTGCTGCAAGTATTTGATTCACCGGCAGTTTCATCCGATCCTATACCTGAAACGAAAGAAAGAAACACAAAAAGAAAGACAGAGAGAAGGATAGAAGGAAAGAAAGGAAAGAAAGAACAAAGAAAGACAGGAAGAAAGAAAGAAAGACAGAAAGAAAGAAAGAAGGAAGAAAGAAACTAGAAAAGCATAAAGCAAAACAGGGAGGAAGAAAGAGAGAAAGAAAGAAAACGACAAGAGAGACCGACAGACAGACAGGAAAAACATCAGAAAGAAGAAGTGACTGCAACAAAAGAAAAGGAAGAACCGATAGAAAATAAAGATAAGAAAAAGGAAGAGCCGACAGAAAATACAGATAATAAAAGAATGACAAGAAACAAAATAAAAAAACAAGCACACATAATATAAGTTATTGACAGATAGAAGGAAGAAAAGAGACAGCATGTTGGATAGATAGATGGATGGATAGATAGATCGATAGAACATAAGGTACACAGTTCTTTGTTGAAGAAAGATACTAGTAAGGCACTTGTTCCTAGTAGCGATGCACTTGTTTCTAATAGCTTCTTGTTACTACTAGAAGGCACTTGTTCCTACTAAAAGCTAAAAGCGGTCAGATTGGTAAATGTTTTTGCTTTCGATCTCTCGGCAGGTATGGCCAGATGGTGCTCGCTATGAAGGTTCGCCGTTTGTGGCGCGTTCTGTGTCACCTTCTTGATTGTGAGTGTGGATGGAAAAGAACATCCGACATTTTCTCGTTTGTGCTCTTTGTAGACCAAAAGAACCGAAGGTGGAAGAACCAAAGGAACGGTTTTTCCAAAACGTGTTCTGCATCTCAGGCGCCAAGGCTTGGAGAATGCGTTGTGTTACCTTCTTTTTCAAAGTGCGGTCTTCCAGACCGACGCATCGTTAACGAAGTGGGACGCCTTTTCAGCGCGGCTCCAGGTCAGTGGGAGAACGACAAGGCACACGGCTTTGGACGCTTCGAGCACACCGATGGGGACATCTATGAGGGAAACTGGCTGGTGGACAAAGCTCACGGCCGAGGCGCGACGGCGCGACGGCGCGACGGCGCGAGCAGCCGAAACGTGCGTTCGTTCGAAAAAGGGGAAAAAGGAAAGCAACTTAAGAGCGATGGTCTCCAAACGTGTTCGTTCCACAACAGGAACAGGTCTAGAAAGACTTTTCAAAGGAAGGTCTAGATCCAAAGGTGCGCAAGGGAAGAAACGGCGAGCCTCATTGGCGTAGCCAATAGCGTTCATGCAGGGGGGTCCAAGACCCTAAACTAAACAAACATTCATGGAAGAAAGACAACGAAGATAGTGTTAAACAAAGAACTATATTATGTCTACTTGCTTCACTTGCTTAATGTTGTTTTTGATAGACCTTTGGACCTTTCTTTTTTCATTCCTTGAGTCTTTTCATGTCTGGATCCAGCAAGCTTTCCCTCAAAGGATTTTACTGCACTTGACCTCAGAGGCCAAAGGTTTTGTGCTGGCAAGCATGAAATGACTTCGTTTTTGAACGCACTCTCAATTCGGCAGATAGCGGATAAGAGAAAAGCAAAGAGAACATGGTTACTAGTAGCTTCTTGTTCCTAGTAGTAATGGCCTCCAACCTAATAGCGATGGCCTCCACCTAGTAGCTTCTTGGTACTAATAGCTACTTGCTCCTAGTAGTACGGCCAGGAGCCCCTAGTAGCGTTCTTGCTCCTAGTAGCGATGCCCTTTGCTCCTAGTAGCGAACGTTGCTATGTCAAAAGAGAAGAAAGCGGGCAATGTGGCTCCGTCAGGCACCTACACCCATGCGAGTGGATCGAAGTTCAGCGGTGAATGGCAGGACGGGCTATCGGTCTCCCCTGAGCCTTCCTGTTACTGCGATCTATCTTCTACCGTTCATTCAAGTCCTCTTCAGATTACTTCAACGACAGTCTTTCTTCTTTTTTGAGTTCTCTTCCAATCCAAAGAGAGACCAAAAACTGATTCCGAGAGGATGACAAGCAGCACGGTTATGGCGAAGAAACGTGGCCTGATGGAGCGCGCTATGCCGCTCGGAACTGCTTGGAACGAACAGCTGTCGGTAGGGCTGTCGGTAGGGCTGTGCTTGAGTTTTGATTTGTGTAGAAAGCATTTCATTCAGAAAAGCTCCCGATGTTCCGTTGAACTTGGCGAGGTTGGAGAATACGAGAACGGCTTGAAGTCCTCACCTCAGAAGCAGAGGGTCAGCCTCCGCAAACAAGCGTTAACAGTAAACAAGTGGTCATTCCTAGAAGATTTGGCAGAAATGCATAGAATATTTTGTGCCACAGGAGAGGTATTTTCAGAAGGTTTCATGCAATATTTTGGCACTTTAGATACGTAACTTCTATTTGAACATTACGCGCTCTTTTGTTGGCTGACTTACATGTGTTAACAAAAAAACATGGACGTTTTGCTACTTGTTGAGCTTTGAGACGACACAGCAAAGAACAACGCTGTTTTGGAGGTCAGGTCGAGGGGACTTCACTTGGGCTGATGGGTCGAGTTATTCAGGTGTGGAGTGAAAGAGAGAGAGAGAGAGAGAGAGCCTCTAGTAGCGATGCCCTTGCTCCTAGTAGCTTCTTGTTCCTAGTAGTAAGGCCAGGAGCTACTAGTAGCGTCCTTGCTCCTAGTAGCGATGTCCTTTGTTTCAATCCGAGGATGAAAAAGATCAATTGGCCGTTTCACAGGGATGTGTCATTGTCAAAGTGGCAATTTGCTAAAGAGTTGTCGATTGGACTTTGCATTGGCCTGATGACATTCCTTTGCAGGACAGTTCTTCGAGAATGTGCCTTGTCCATTTTCCAGCCAGTGGTTTCGTAATGTTGACCGCAAACTTCAAAGCAACAGTTCCCTGCAACAATGTCCTTTTCCTGTACCTACGTCCCTTTATCATGCCGTGAGAGACTTTTGCTTATGCAGGGTGCAAAGGACACATATGTTTTGCCTACGAAAGCAACATGGTCTACGTGTTGTGGAGTTTGTTGTGTTTGGTCAAGAGGCAGTGAACACAAGGTCCATGCAGAGGTTGATGTCGGAGGCCATCGCTATTAGGTTGGAGTTTCTCTAGAAAAGGCTCTGAACACCATTGAGTGCCTCTTCTGAGGACATCCATGGGGAAGGAAAATACAGTTGGGAGGATGGCCGTGTCTACGAAGGTCAGTGGGACAGGACAGAGCCGGGATTTGGCTGTTTGGGGGCAGTCATGGAACAACATGAGTGTCTTTTCATGTGATTTTCATGTTTGCTTTGGACGAAGAAACATTTCTTGTTACTACTAGTAACAAGTGCCACGCTAGTAGTAACAAGTGCCTTACTAGTAGTAACAAAAAGCTATTAGAATTAGATTTAAAGCATTCTCAGAACATTAGCCTCTTCTGATCACGTGAGGAATCGAATGCACGGCAAGGGCAAATTCAGATGGGCAGATGGCCGCGTCTATGAAGGTGGTGCCTTGCAGTCTATGTGGGGGGAATAGACTCGTAGAATAAACGACAACCACAAAAAGGGCCTTCTGTGTTTGTTTGTCGGTGTTTCATTGTTTGTTTTTCTTCATTCTTTCCTAGTTGTTCATGTCCGGCTTTGGGATACCTGAGGGTGGGAGAAAACGGCGCTTCGGTGGGTAGACCGAGATGTTGGGAGAGGTTGTTCTGTTGGGTTTGGAGATGTTTTAAGCCCACCAAGTCACCCGTCAGGGAATGAGGGCACAAAGACCACCGACAGAAAGAAAGCATTTGGCTCCTAGTAGCGTCTTTGTTACTAGTAGCGATGCCAGGAGCCCCTAGTAGCGTCCTTGCTCCTAGTAGTAAGGCCAGGAGCCCCTAGTAGCTTCTTGTTCCTAATGGTAACTAAAAGGCAGGATAGAAGTGATCGAAGATAGTAATTTTGCGAGTGACTCTGGACGTACATTCTGAACGGGTGGCCTTTCCTTGCACACAATGTCTTTTGTAGACAGAAGCTTCCTTGAACCCTTGCTGAAATCCAGCATGTTGTATACGTTTCCCTAATTATCTAGGAACCAAATCATTAGTGTGAGCTATCCTGCGTCCAGTTTTAGTAGCGTCTTAGTACCTAGGAGCTTGCTCCTTGCTAGGAGCTACTAGCTGCCTCTTCGGCCTCGTCTTTGGGTCTTGGGATCTGAGGCTACGTGAACGATTCGAAGGAAGGCTATGGGACCTTTAGTTGGCCTGATGGGCGATCTTATCAAGGCCAATGGGCTGAAGGGAAGCAGCCAGGATCTCAGCACCTGAAGCGACCGAGAGCAGCCAAGCGGTTTAAGCTCCGTTCAGTTCTGTGAGAGAGGGGTGGAGAAGAAACAGCGCAACACACCTTGGCAAAGCTACAAAGCCTCTTTTGAGGGAACCCTGGAGCCCTTTCGCTAGTAGGGTTGGAGGCCATCGCTCTTAGGTTGGAGGCCATCACTCTTAGGTTGGAGGCCATCAGGTTGGAGTTGGAGGCCATCGCTCTTAGGTTGGAGGCCATCGCTCTTAGGTTGGAGGCCATTGCTCTTAGGTTGGAGGCCACCGCTCTTAGGTTGGAGGCCATCGCTCTTAGGTTGGAGGCCATCGCTCTTAGGTTAGAGGCCATCGCTCTTAGGTTGGAGGCCATCGCTATTAGGTTGAATCTTTTCGCTAGTAGGTTTGGAGGCCATCGCTCTTATATAGGTTGGAGATTTTCGCAAGCAGGTTGGAGGACGTTGCTATTACGTAGGAGGCCATCGTTCTTAGGTTGGAAATTCGCTAGTAGGTTGGAGGCGATCGCTCTTAGGTTGGAGGCCATCGCTCTTAGGTTGGAGGCCGTCGCTCTTAGGCTGGAGCCCATCGCTCTCAGGTTGGAGGCCATCGCTCTTAGGTTGGAGGCCATCGCTCTCAGGTTGGAGGCCATCGCTCTTAGGTTAGAGGCCATCGCTCTTAGGTTGGATATTTTCGCAAGTAGGTTGGAGGCTGTCGCTATTACATTGGAGGCCATCGCTCTTGAGTTGGAGATTTTCGCAAGCACTCGTAGATTGGAGGCCATCCCTATTACACTGGAGGTCATCGCTCTTAGGTTGGAGATTTTCGCAAGCAGGTTGGAGGACGTCGC